CATAGATCAGGAGACTTTTGTTTGAATAGAACAAGGAGATACTGTGTGTTTTAAAATCAGGAACGCTGTGTATCAAGGTTATATCTTTTCACCATAATTATTCAATCTGTATGCTGAGTAAATAATCCAAAAAGCTGGACTATATGAAGAAGAACATGGCAGCATCGGGATTGGAAGAAGACTTATTAACAACCTATAATATGGAGATGACACACCCTTGCTTGCTGAAAGTGAAGGTGACTTGAAGCACTTACTGATGAGGATCAAAGACTACAGTCTTCAGTATGGATTACACCTTAACGTAAAGAAAATGAAAATCCTCACAACTGGACCAATAACCAACATCAGAATAAATGGAGAAAAGATTGAAATAGTCAGGGATTTAATTTTATTTGGGTCCATAATCTACAGCCATGGAAGCAGCAGTCAAGAAATAGATGCCATAAAAAAAAAAAAAAAAAAAAGCGGGGAACAGGTTTGCTGGCCTGATGGAGCCTGGTGGAACCACTGAGATATGGCCCCTAGCTGCCCTTCAGGTCTGGAATTGAATGCACGCCTGTGGCTTACAGCCAAACAATAGGCATATTAGTTGAGCATTTACCTGAGGTAGATTCACTCCTTGGAGAGAACAAGCATGAGAGAAAGAAGGGCTGCTCAGGCACAGGGAGACAGCTCAGGGGGGCAGGAGTGCATGGAGGGATGGACACGGAAGAGGTAACTATCAGGAGGAAGTGGGAGGGGAGATGTTGTGCTAAATTGTGGTCAATGTCATGAGACAAAGGGTATGTGATCTGCTGTATGGAAAGTGTATTTGCTCTGTAAATTTTCACCCAAATGACAATAAAAAAAAGAAAAAAGAAATAGATGCCGTATTGTGCTAGGCAGATCTGCTGCAAGGAACTTCTTCAAAAGTATTAAAATAGCAAAGATGTCACTTTGAAGACTAAGGTGCACCTAACTCAAGTCATGGGTTAGGTTTCAGTCACCTCATGTGCATGTGAAATGTGGACAGTGAATAAGGAAGACTGAAGAACAATTAATGCCTTTAAATTGTGTTGGCAAATAATACTGAAAATAACATGGACTGCTAAAACAACAAATAAATCTGTTTTGGAAGAAATGCAGCCAGACTGTTCCTTAGAAGCAAGAATGGCCAGATTTCGTCTCACTTACTTTGGTCATGTTGTCAGAAGGGACCAGTCCCTTGAGAAGGATATCATGCTTGGTGAAGTGAATGGTCAGAGAAAAAGGGGATGAGATTCAACGAGATGGATTGACACAGTGGCTGCAATGATGGGTTCAAGCATAGCAAGGATTGTAAGGATGGCACATGACCAAGGCAGTGTTTTGTTCAGTTGTACAAAGGGTTGCTATGAGTTGCAGTCGACTCAACAGCACCTACCACCACCACCAACAGGAAGCCATTGAAGGATTTAAGCAAGAAATGACATAAAATGATTTACATTTTTTGAAGATCATTTCAGCTACTTTGTGGAAATGGATTAAATGAACCCATTAAGATGCTATTGGTGGAGCTGATGATGGTAGCTTAGAGTAGGATGGTGAAAGTGGGAATGGAAAGAAATGGACAGATGCAAGATGTGTTTTAGAGATCAAAGCAACAGAACTTAGCCAAATATTGGATATGGGTACTTGACAACTGTAGTTTTAGAAGAAAGGTGGGGTGGAAGTCTATCTAGATAGGTTGAGAATTGAAAAGTGGATGAAGAAGTAGAGATACTATTATAGACAATTTATTCAAGAAGCTGTGCTGTGAAGGGAGTGTAGCTTTTGGAGAATAGGAGTTTAGGAGTGGGTTTAAGATGAGCGATAGTAGAACGAGCCTAGTAGAGAGTTTCTCATCTGTGGCACTATTAACATTTTGGGCCAGATGATTCTTAGTTTGGGGTGGGGGCAGAGGTGTCCTATGCATTGTAGAGTGTTTAGCAACATCTCTGGCCGGTATCTACTAAATGGCAGTAGCAGCCCCCAAGTTGTGGCAGTCAAAGATATCTTCACACATTGCCAAATGCCCCCCCCCCCAAGCAGGGAGAGGGAGATTGTCTCAGTTGAGAACCACTGGTCCAGTAGAAAGGCCAGTGATGCTGAAAGGGAGAAAGGGCAGAGTAATTTGGCAAGAACAAAGATCTTGAGAATGTAATTGGGAGTCAAGTTGGCCTTTGAAAGGAATTAGGAACATTTGTATATTTTAACAAGAGGGAAAAGAATATGGATGGTTTTATAGGTTGGGTTGTAGAAGCTGAGGGCTACTCTTCTATTTGATCAATAAAGCTTAAAACGAGAGTATCAGCTAGAGAGTGAGTATGGGAAGGTTTGAAGTTAGAGAGGTTATGAAGTAATAATCTCAGATGAAACGTAAACTTAAGTGAAACCTAATTGAATTTCTGGGAAGTTTTGTGTGTCTGTTTTAGAATTTTGAATCAATTTATAGTATATAGTCAGTCAGCCCAGGTGTGTAATTTTTATCCAGCAACATTCAACTACTCTGGTGCTGGCATGAAAAAGGCCAAAGTTGTTTTAGAGTTTTACAACGGAGTGATTATAATGGTGATCTGTAGAATCTAAACTGGGTAAGGAGGGAAGCGAAGACAAGAGGGAGAGTGCATAATGAGAGTCACGGAGTGGAGGTCTTGATCAGTTGGACAGTATTTTGCAGTGTGGGAGGGGACAGTCTAGAATAATAAGTTGAAAGAATCAGTGATGGCAGCAAGAGAGAGGGTTGCTTAAAATTCAGAGAGGTGTTGTTAATGCTGATCACCAGGTCTAGAACTTAACCCTAGAAGCTGAGGGAAGTCTTATTAGTTGGAGGAGAAGAGTTGAAGATGAATAGGTGAACACACTTAGAAGCCTAGGTGCTAGATAGGTTTTGGTCCCAGAAACAGTGGGCCAGGATCCAAATGAATCTGAATGAAGAGGGGTAATTACAAATTAGTAGATGAGAGATAGCAAAGAGAGGAGTAAGTTATATAGTCAGATGGCATGAATTTCAAAGGAAGTTCAGGTTTTTGAAAAGCGGAGGAGGGAAAATCATTTGGAGTAAGTGGTTGTGGAGAGCAAAGAGGACACCTAACCCTTGTCCTGACCCAGAGGAATTTTGTTGTTGTTGTTAGGTGCCGTCGAGTCTGCTTCAAATCATAGTGACCCTATGTACAACACGACGAAACATTGTCCGGTCCTGCACCAGGAATTTTAGGTGTAGATGAAAAACCAATTAGGGAAGTACTAAGGGGAAAGTTGAATAGAGGGTTAGCTTATTTAGCAAACTTGACCAAAATGTTATCCTTTGGGAAAAAATTGTGTTAAGGCCTAAACTCTAATGTTAGAGGTTGCTTATGTCTCAAAGCTACCCATATAATATTTCCTATATTTCTGTAGTGCTGAGCACTTTTATATCACTCTCCAGTTTTGTCCTCATAGCAATCCTATGAGCGATGGCTGATATTATAATCCTTATCCTACAGATAAGAAGACTTAAGACCAGATGAGATTACGTGACTGTGGTCATCTGTGTAGTTTATGTTTGACAAGGACCTTACATCCTAGTCCAGTATTTGTACCATATTCCTTTATGGTGGAGTATTGTACCTCTTAGGAGCTCTGGTAGCGTAGTGCCTAAGGCACTCGACTGCTAACCAGAAGGCTGGCGGTTCAAACCCATCAGCCACTCCTTGGAAGGAAGGTTGGGCAATCTACTTCCATAGTGATACTGCCTCAGAAACCCAAGGAGGGGTCGCTAAGAGTCGGGTCTGACTCGACGGCACATAACAACAACAACATTGTACCTCCTTGGGCAAATAGGTGAAAAGATTTCAACTAATTCCTAATGTTAGTTTCATCTAAACTCAGGAAATTCTTATGGGTGGCTGAGGCTTGTGCTACAAGTTTCTTCTTCTTGAGGTGCTCTGGTGGCCAGGCTGGCCATGGTTGTAAGGGGAGGTTATGGTTTCTGTCTTTTATAAAGAAGAGAATCTAACAGGGGAATACTGCCACCTCTGTTCTAGAGCTCCTGGTGAGGATAAACACAATCCTAGCCAACTCCTCAGTTTTCGTAATGAAGGAAAGGAGTTGGGAAGAACCGCACACAACGAGAGTCCTTTTAAAAGTCTGCCTTGGGGGAAGATGAATCAATTTGACCAAATTTATTCTAGAAGTGGGCCAATGTAAAAGGTATTCTAATAACTTAATTCTGGATCTTCTTAGAATTAAGGTTCAGGATTATCTACTTGGGTCTAAAATTAATTCTGAGAGGTTGGGACGGGAGGAGGGAAGAAAATGGAATAAATAAAATTAATCATATTGAGAGAACTTTGAAGATCCCTTCCCATATATGACATTACACATATTTCCTTTACTGTCTCTAACACTGGCCAGTTTACAGTCTGGGCCACTGTGAGAAAGCCGAGAGTGATGGAGACTGAGTGGCAATGAAAAATTATGTGTGCTGCTTAACTGTCCTCGTGGGACCAAAATCCAAAAAACTGATATGCCCAGTTTGTCCAAAACAGCTATCATGTCTGTTGATTCTGTGCAAAGGGAATTCTTTATGGCCAAGTGAATCTAGAACCTAAATGAAATCAATTTCAGAGTTTGAAAAGGATCTTTTGGAGATAACCAGGAGGAGGTAGCTAATCTTCCTTTGAAAGTATAAACTGTACTCAGCATTATTCTTATGTTTGTATTCCTCATTTTAAAAGTCATCAAGGTGAAAAAAATCAGATTTAATTAGATAAACCTATAAAAGAGAAGTAGATAAAATATTTGTGATAGTTGAAACAGATCATGCAAAGTATTCTGTATGAATTAAATTAATAATTGACAAAAGCTAGTGTTCTTTTCAGGGAGAACTTTAAGGGGCAGGACTGAAGGCTGTGATCCTTCAGAGTGTTTCTGATAGAAATCACTTAGGATTACACTGTTGATCTTTTTTGGGATTGCAACCGTATGCCGTCATGTATATGTTGTATCTTTATCTCTTCCAGGGACGGGACCAGATGGTAGAATCATCAAGAAGGACATTGACTCTTTTGTGCCTACCAAAGCTGCTCCTGTGAGTTGCATTTGACTTTTTTTTTTTTTGGTAGTTTGTTCCTTAAAAAATACTTTGTCTAGACTTTTATGTTTCGTATGTTAATTTGTATTTAACCAGAGTATGTTTTCTTTTTGTCTCATTTCAGTGGCTTAGTGGTACTTAGATGTGAATGTGCTGTCATTTTTATACAAAATCAAAAATGGTACTACATTGACATGTATTCCAAATTTTTGTTTTTGTAGTAATATTGAATATTGACTGATCCTAATTCAGCCCCTATTTTTAAAAGCATGTTGGCAAGTTTATTGATTTGAGTTTCAAATTTATTGTTAGTCCACAAAGGGATTAAATCCATATAGCCAACTTCTGTTTGATTGTTTAAAGTGCTAATATAATCAAAAGTACAGAAAATGATTCAGTTTAGATGTTTCCTTTAAAATGAAAGATTTGTCATTGTGTTTTCTTCTTAACACTGTTCAAGATAACTTTTTAATATTTATCTCTTAACCCTTTCACTTTAGAATGCCTTGATTACTTTTCTTGAAAATTAGTTTGCAAAACCAAAATTATTTTGACAAAACTAGTCATTGAAATGTACTCTAGTTCAAGGAAGGGTAACACAAAACATGATTTCAGAATTCTAAGTTAAAAAAAAGAGAAAAGAACCTATTAAATGAGTCTCTTTTGCTCTCTGGGGATAGAAATAACTATTTTTCTTTAATACTTTAAATTTCTACTTTGCTATATATAAAAGGGTGCTCTGGTGGCATAGTGCCTAAGGCATTTGACTGCTAACCAGAAGGCTGGTGGTTCAACTTACCAGCCACTCCTCGGGAGGAAGATTGTTCAATCTGCTTCCGTAGAGATACCACCTTGGAAACCCAAGCAGGGGTTGCTATGAGCCGGAAGCGACTCAACAGTAGTGAGTTTGGTTTTGGTATATATAAAAAAGTCATTGGCAGTCTTTCCTAGGTGCTCATGCTAAGATGGAGCTACAGTTTCTAAGAGGATTTTTTTTTGCTTTTCTCCCTCATAGGCTCCAGCAGCTGCTGTATCTCCCCCAGTTCCAGGAGTGGCACCACTTCCTACAGGTGTCTTCACAGATATCCCAATCAGCAACATTCGCCGAGTAAGAGTATTACCATAATCTGCAAACAAAACTGTTGAGGGCACTTTTGCATTGATTGATGAATTGGATGGTTTAAAAACACTAACAGAGGCTTTTTTCTGTTGGGAATCTTGGATGCTTAGTTTAAGGGATGTTGGGTTTTGTCATTGAGTACTTAGGATAAATAAATCAGTGTGTTCTGATTAAATACTATTAGAAGATGCTAAATTATATAATCTTCCATCTTCCAACTCTAATAATGCTTAGGTAAACATTACTGGGGAGTAGGGTGAAAGGAGCAAGCTGAACCTTGAATTAAGTAAGGTCTCAAGTCAAGTCAAATCAATTGATTTTTTAATCTCTTTGGTTTCAGGTTATTGCACAGCGGTTAATGCAATCTAAGCAAACCATACCTCATTATTACCTTTCTATTGATGTAAATATGGGAGAAGTTTTGTCAGTTCGGAAAGAACTTAATAAGGTAAAGGTCTGGAAATTCCAACTCTCTAATACTAAAAAGTTAATTTCCCTACAAAGCATTTACATTTTACCCATAAAATTTGTTACAGTATGCCAGTTGCAGAGAACATTGTGGAGAATTTTCATTTGCTAGCCTCAAAAAAAAACTTACCAATGTTACCTTTGCTATAGATAGATTTTAATCTAATAGAGTCACTGCCATTCTGAGACTGTTTGAATGTCTTTTGGCAAGTAAGATACAGTGTGTTTGCTTTATGTTTATAGTCAAGTATCAAGCACCTACCATGTTTATTTTAAGGCACTTTTCGGAACATAGCATAAAGCATGGTTTTTTCCATGAGTTTATAATCTAATTGGGGGAGATAATACATATGAAAAAGAGACATCAACTTTTATTAAAGTAAAAATATTATTTATAGATTGGTCTCTCTATGGTAATACCCCTTAATTTTCTGCTAAATTACATTATATAAGGTTAAGTGTTTTAGGGATTCAGAGGAGGAAATCATCAGAATTTACAATAGTGTGAGAAAAACTTTGTTGAACCATAGAGCAGGGGGAGGGCTTGCCTTGGCAAAGAAGTTGAAATAAGATCATTCTAATGATGGAATATCACAAGGGTAAAGTATACGTAAGGAGTCTCTAGGTGCAAAGGGTTGTTAAGGGCTCAGCTATTAACCAGAAGGTTAGAGCCCATCCAAAGGCTCCTGAGAAGAAAGGCTACTTCCAAAAGATCACAGCCATTGAAAACCCTATGGAATGCAGGTCTACTGTGAGACACACAGGTTTCCCAAGAACAGGAATCGACTGGAGGGGCAACATTTTAAAAAATGCTTAAAAATGGAAATACAGTTGGCCCATGAGGAAGATAAGAGATTACTTTTTCTAGAGCAGATAGACAATAAGTCAGTTTAGGGAAGACCTTGGACTACAAGCAGAAGAATATGGATTTGGTGAATTAGGTAGTAAATAAGAAACCATTATATGTTTTTGATCAGTAAAGTGAAGTGATGATAACAATATTTTTAAAAAGATTAGTCTGATGGATGTATGCTGGCACATGTTGGCAATCTAGTTGTGCTTGTCATTGTAACCTAGACACGAAATAATGGTGATAAGGGTCTAAACCAGAGAGTGGCATTAAGAATGGAGTGAGAGAGAATGATAAATGAAGATATTTTCAAGGAAATGAAAAGTAAAAGCCATAGTCCTTAGAGTTGCCTATAAAGTTTGAGCTCTTCTGTAACCTCTCTGACCCTCTCTCCTACTCTTCTACCTGCTCACTCTGCTCCCGACACAGTGGTTGTTCAACACTCAGACTCTTAGGCCCTTTGTACTTACTGTTCCCTCTGGGTGGAATACTCTTTCTTGCCTCCCTTTCTCAAAGTTATATAGTTTCAGTTTTTTGTGGAGAGAAATTAAGAAACTACAGTGGTTTCTTGTCTTTCCAGATGATAGAAGGGCGTGGCAAAATATCAGTCAATGACTTCATCATAAAAGCTTCTGCTTTGGCATGTTTAAAAGTTCCTGAAGCAAATTCTTCTTGGCTGGACACAGTTATAAGACAGTAAGTATAACACTGCTGGGGAAGGTATATATCTATCAGTAATTTTCTTGTTTAACATATGACTAAGAGTGGAGGTCCTTCTAAGGAGAAATGGAAGACAGTTCTCTGATGAGGGGCAGATAACTTCTACAGGCAACAATGTGAAAACAATACAAAACTGTTTGTGAGATGGTGCTAAATTTAGTTAGCAAAGACTACAAATTCTTTGTATGAGTTTAGGAAAGGGAGATCAATGTACAAATATGTGTAATTAAACCAATACTATCTCACAAAGCAAGGCTGAAATAGATATTTTTCATTCACCAGTGAGTCCTTCTGAACTTTAGGAGACAAAATGGGAAACAAACAAAAATCCAGCATTTGTTAATATTGTATGATTGGCCTGATGCTTAGTATGTTTTGCATTTTATTTCATTTACTCCTCATAATAACCTTATGAGGTAGGTGCTTTCATTCACATTTTGTAGATGAAGCTAAGGCTCAGTGAGTTAAATAAGTTGCCCTGAGTTAATAGTAAGTGGCAGAACTGGGATTGGAGTCAGGATTCTGACTCCAAAGCCTAGGCTTTTTCTACATGTGGACTCTTTATTATTACTAACTTAATTTTTATAAAAATAATAGTATGTAGTTTGGAATATTGCTACATGGCTTACATTAAACCTATCCCAACCCTTAATCTGAGTCCCACTTCCAAAAAGCAAACACAAGGTTTAAACTATTGTTTCTTCTCAATTTACTTTTATTATTTCTAAATGACATTATGGATTTTTCAGTTCTTTTACTTTATTTGTTGAATGCTAGAAGAAAATTAAGATTTAGCTGTTATACCCTCCCTGCACACACACACACACACACACAGAGACACTCCCTCCCCCTGACATCCTCCCAAAATGACTGTAGCATAAATTTTGATTAAATCTGTATTCAAGTGTTAATATTTTTATGAATGAAAATACTGTTTGTGACTAAACCAAGTAGTATACTATGAATATTAACTTGATTTTAATGATTGCAAAACTTATGAATAGAACTAAAACATTTCTCAGTTTCGGTTATTTATACCAGGTATTCTGTTGGTTCTGATTTTATCCTTTGAGAAAAAATTCACTCTCCTCTTTGAGACTATCTGAGGGTCTAACTATTCCTGTAACAAATTACTGCTGTAACCGATTACTACAAACTTGGTGTTAGACAACGGACATTTATTCTCTGACAGTTCTGGAGGCCAGAGATCAAGGTGTCAGCATGGTCTCTGTCCATCCAAAAGATCTAGAGGAGTCTCTGCCTCTCCTGGTTTCTGGTAGCTCTTGCTGTTCCTTGGCTTATGGCTGCATAATTCTTATCTCTGCCTTTGTCTTCACATTCTCTTCTCTGTCTCTAGCTTCTCCTCTTCTTTCTCATATAAGGACATTTGTCATTGGATTTAGGACCCACGTGGGTAGTCAAAGATGATCTCATCTCAAGTTCCTTAACTTATTTCTGCAAAGACTTTCTGAAGTAGATTGCCCTTCTTCCAAATAAGGTCGTATTCACGGGTTCTGGGGGTTATAAAGTGGATGTAACTTTTTTGGGACATTGTTCAACTTACTACTTAGACTTTGAATCAGTATTCCAATTTTCACCACCTCTTCATACCACTAACTCAGATTTCTTTCTGGTACCTGAACAGAAGTAAGGAGCTCTAGTGGCGTAGTGTTTAAGGCATTTGACTGCTAACTGGAAGGTTGTTGTTGTTGTTATGTGCCGTCAAGTCGGCCCCGACTCATAGCGACCCCTCCTTGGGTTTCCGGAGGCAGTATCACTACGGAAGTAGGGTTGCCCAACCTTCCTTCCGAGGAGTGGCTGGTGGGTTTGAACCACCAGCCGTCTGGTTAGCAGGCAAGTGTCTTAGCCACTATGTCTTAGCCATAAAGCTTAACACCCTGAATTTCATGTATCTTAATATAAGAATTTATACATGTGGTTTATTACCATTTCAG